AACTTTATGTTATGTGTATTTTTATCATAATAAAAATATAAAAATACAAAACGATGAAGCACATTGCATAGCATCATGAACCTTGGAAATATTGTGCTTGGTGAAAGAATCCAGGCATGTAAGGCCATATATTGTATGATTTCATTTGTATGAAATATTCAGAATAGACAAATCCATTGAGACTGATAATAGATTAGTTGTTTCTAATGGCTGTGGTGAGGGAGGATTGAGAGTAATTGCTAATGAGTACATGGTTTCTTTTAGGAGTGATGAAAATGTTCTGGAATTAGTGGTAACAGATGCACAATTTTGTGAACATACATTAAAATACTGAACTGTATATTAGTAAAAGGTGAATTAATGGTATATGGAGTAATTTTTAATTTAAAGAATTGGAATAACCAAAGTGTTCACAAACATACACAAATAGAGAATTAAAATAGTTAAAAAAATACGGTAAGTCCATACAATAGGATTGTGTGCAGCTATTAAAAGGACATTTAGAAATGAGGACAAAGAACATGTTATATGGAAAAGTCACCAAGCTACATGGTTAAGTTAGAAAAAAAAAAACTACAAAAATGGTGACTATATGATCACTTTTGTGAAATGAAAGACAACAGCTATGCAAGTAGATGAAACTCTCACACAAATCTGTGTGTATGTGTATGTTTGTGCAATCATACACAAATTTATATTGTGTCCCTCTCCCACCTAGTAGTTACTGAAATGCAGCTAAAATGACCAAATTTGGATATTTTTATTTTTTATTTGATTTTTTAAATATTTTTTTTATATTTCAGAAGTATTATTTTTTTTCTAAATTTATACTATTTTATCTTTTATACTTTAATGTTTTGAATGTTTTGAGCCTATCTAGGCAGAGAGATAATAGATCTTCTTACTTCCTTTGCATTTCATAGAACTCTAAAAAATTCTTAGTGAAATATTACATCAAAAACCTGAAGTAAAACACATATTAAAAAATATACATGTCATCTTCCTCCAAATCATTTTTATTTTTCGTTTTATGAGAATGTTATGGGAACTCCATGGTTCTTATCCTTAGATTTGTAGTTAAAAACAATTAACACAGAAATCCTTTATATTTGTACAAGGAAGAGAAAAATTCTCGGCCTTAAATGAAAGCTAATTTCCAGAAGAAGCACAATGAATCAACCAACTTCTCAATTAAAAAACACTAAATGAAAACAGATTACTACTACCCAGAGGCAGATTCAGTTTTGTTCTCTGTTGTCATCTTCTAAGCTTTTGAAATTATGAAAGGAATTCAGATCTACACTACTCAAATTTGATATAATAGTCCAACTTAACAGTGCCCTCTTCTGGTGCCATGTTTCACATGCAGCTACTCATTTAGTTGCCAGTGGTGTCTGACTCTTTGCCAGCCTATGGACTGTAGCCCCTCCAGGCTCCTCTGTCCATAGGATTCTCCAGGCAAGAATACTGGAATGGGCTGCCATTTTCTTCTTCAGCAGCTACTTAATCAATGTTAATAAAAAGGGAGGGGGGCTGAACTTGGAAAAGATGTTTGAGAAAAACCATTTTGAAACCTAGAAGAAAAAGGTTTTAGTTTTCTATTCTAATATAACAAAAATAAACAAAAATCCAGTTGTGAGTATAATGGGGGTTGACAGGGCTGGGGAGAGAGGAAAATGGGAAGTTGTTTGCAGTAGTATTGCAGTGCTAGTTGCTCAGTCATGTACAGGGATCAAACCCAGGTCTCCTGCACTGCAGGCAGATTCTTTACCATCAGAGCCACCGGGAAGATCCCAGAAAGTTGTTTAATGGGCATAAAAAATTCTGGACTTTGCTTGTACAACACTGTGAATATACTTAGCATTACTGCACTGTACACTTAAAATGGTTAAGTTGGTAAATTTTAGGTTATATGCATTTTAACACAATTAAAAATAAAAATAAATAAATCCATTTGAAGTATAAATAGTTCGGGTTGATGTCAGCAGCTCTAAGTTGAAACTGTTTTCACCTCAAGTTAAATCTTTACCATAAACCAAACCCATGTGGATTTGATACAATTTTTAATTCCATTCATTTTACTAAAATAGGCACGTGTTTCTCTTAATTTACTGAGACTATAGCTATAAGACAACTTAATTTCCACTTTAACTCTTGAAGTCTCTAATCCTTCAAGATAAAAAGATTGTGAAAATGGCATGGTTTTTCCAGAAGTCATGTATGGATGTGAAAGTTGGACTATAAAGAAAACTGAGCACCGAAGAACTGACGCTTTTGAACTGTGGTGGTGGAGAAAACTCTTGAGAGTCCCTTGGACAGCAAGGAGATCAAACCAATCAATCCTAAAGGAAATCAGTCCTGAATATTCATTGGAAGGACTGATGCTGAAGCTGAAACTCCAATACTTTAGCCACCTGATGCGAAGAAGTGACTCATTGGAAAAGACCCTGATGCTGGGAAAGATTGAAGGCAGGAGGAGAAGAGAACAATGAAGGACAAGATGTTTGGATGGCATCACTGACTCGATGGACATGAGTTTGAACAAGCTCGGGGAGTTGGTGATGGACAGGGAAGCCTGGCATGCTGCAGTCCATGGGGTCGCAAAGAGTCAGACACAACTGAGCAACTGAACTGAACTACTTCATTTATTTCAGGAAATAATAATAATATATATATATATATATGTATATATGTATATATATGTATGTATATGCATGCATGCTCAGTCACTTCATTCATGTTTGAATCTTTGTGACTCCATGGACTGTACTCTGCCAGGCTCCTCTGTCCATGGGACTCTCCATGAAAGAATACTGGAGAACCTGTCTGCCAATGGAGGAGACCTAAGACACTCCCCATTCAATTACTGGGTCAGAAAGATCCCCTAGAAGAGGGCATTGTTACCTACTCCAGTATTCTTGCCTACATAATCCCATGGACAGAGGAGCCTGGTGGGTACAGTCCATGGGGTCACAAAGAGTTGGACATGACTGAAATATACACACACACTCTCTAAGGTTTGAATTGTACAACTGGGTAGAAGGTTTAACATTCACTGAAATGAAGACTAGGAAAGGAGCAAGTTTGGAGGGTCAGGGATAGACCAACTGTTCTCAAAAGGTATTATCCTACCACCCCCTGCCACTCTCCCACCTTGCCCAGGGGATATTTGAGAGTACCTGGAGACATTTCTAATTATCACACCAGGAGGCAGTTGGGGCCGGGTTAGGGGACATGCTACTGGCCCCGGTTGGCATACTGCTAAACATCCCACAATGCACAGGACAGGATCTCACCACAAAGAACGATCTGGCCTCAAATGTCAATAGTGCCAATAGCAAGAAACCTTGGGTTGGCATCCTCTCTTCTGAATTTGTCCATTCTTTCTCAGCCTTTGCAGCAGGCTTCTCCTCTTCTAACCCTATTTACTCAATAGTCTGTCCTTATCAAGCACACTTCTCTTTTCTCTACATTTTCTCTTCAGAATATCACCCATAACATCAACTACCACATCTATGTTACTGACTCCCACAACTTTGTCTAGTCCCAACTGTTCTTCTAGCTCTAGAGCATTGTTTCTTTAGATTTCCCTTTACAGTTTTTCATTAACTTAGTGCTACATCTCTTGTCTTTATAAGTAGCATCTGATAGAAAACCACAGGGTCATTTATTTCACAAACTGAGTATCCAGTTTGTGCAAAGTGCAACACTAGTACTCAGAGTAAGATAGTGATGCTGATGAGAGGTAATCATGGTAATTGTTTTAAATGCATTATCCTTGTAAAGCAATTATCCATCAATTAGAAAAAAAACCTTTAATGTATTATCCCTGATTATGACAATAGTTTTACAAGGAAAAAATTATTATTTCCTGGGAAGGAAAGGTGCAAGTGTTTAACTACTTAAATACAACAGTGTTTGTAAATAGCAGAGTATTTTAAAAGTCAGTTCTATTTTGACATTAAGGATTGCACTCTCTCCATTAAAAAACACTGGAACAGAGCTGGAAAAGTGTCCATAGTCACAGGGAGGTGGATGTGAATGATGAAGGTCTAAGAAGTTTTGCCTGCCTGTTTAGTTGCGTCTGACTCTGTGAACCCATGGACTGTAGCCCCCAGGCTCCTCTGACCAGGGGATTCTCCAGGCAAGAATACTGGAGTGGGTAGCCAATCCCTTCTCCTGTAGATCTTCCCCACCCAGGAATCAAATCAGTGTCCCTGCGCTGCAGGCAGATTATCATCTGCACCCCCAGGGAATCCCTAAGACATTCTAGTAGCCTTTTATTCTAAGCCACAGTGTACCTGCTTGGGTTACTTACCATATATCACAGAATATAATACACCAGCCATAGTAAGATGAATCATTATTTTCCTTAACTGTAGAGAAGGAAAAAAATGGCAATGCAAGTATGACATACTGTCAATTGTCTGAGATTTCCTAGGTGTAGAAATATTTTTAAAAAAGATAAGCCTTCAGAGATTTCTAATTTGTTAAAATATGAAGAAAAAACCTGATCTTAGATTCTATGACATACGGTGAATTTGTTTTCCCCTTTCAAATTCCATGGTCGGTGCCTGTGTGCTATCTGCACTTCAGTCAAGTAAGACGTTTGTATATTGCTTTCTAAAGGGTCCTAGGTAATTTCATGACTCTCTTGTGCTTCTACAACTAGAACGTAAAGCTCTTAGCTTTTCAATCACCTCTTTGTTCTCCACACAAACACTCCCGCCTCCACCCGCAGTGCCTTTCCACAATCTGTGCAGATGTTGCCGTTTAAGAGTAAACCTGAATTTGTTCTAATCTTAGAATTGCATAGATATTAAAAGACTGTCCACAGATTTAGTTACACTGGGGGCGGGGGAGACATTCTATTAAATAAACGCTTCGTTTTTTTTAAGACCCATCCTCGCAGAAACGTTAAAATAGGGTGGGGTAGAGAGCGAGGGCGGAGGCAGAGAGGGGATATACGTCTCAGGATACAGGAAATACGGAAAGAGCGAAACCCAGAGGAAGCTCTGTTGCCTGGAGGGGACCCGCCGCCATCTCAGGTCTCTTGGCTTCGCCAGGGCCCACTGGAGAGAGCTGACACCCAGGTCCTATAATCCTTATGGGGGACCAACCTTGTACCTCCGGGAGATCCACGCTCCCACCTGGAAACACGCGGGAAACGAAGCCTCCAAAAAAGCGGTGCCTCCTAGCTCCACGTTGGGATTATCCAGAAGGAACCCCGAACGGAGGTAACACCACTCTCCCTTCCACACCTCCTCCAGCATCACCGGGTCTGAAGTCGCATCCACCTCCTCCGGAGAAGTAGTACAATATACTTCTTCCACCCTAAACCAGGTCAGATTCTTTCTCATTTGGGACAACCAGGCTCTCTCAAACTTAATTATGCATTTCCCCAGATCTCCTTCTCCCTTTCCCTATTCTTTTCACGATTTCAAAATTAAAAAAAAATGCAGGCGTTAAATAGCTCTTTCACAAAATATGTGGGGGTGAGTTTATGGATATTTAATAACATTAAGTAATTATTTTTAAATATATTTTTCAGTAGACATATCTGTTGATTTCCTTGAAAGTCAGTTGGGCCCAGGTGAGGGGTACAAATGTTAATGACTTGATAATTGTTAAAGCTGAGTGATATATACATGGGGATTCATTAAACTGTTCTTGCTACTTTTGTATATATTTAAAGCTTTTCCATTAAAAAAATGCCTGATTCAAGATCAATAACATCATTGTATTGACGGCCTAATTCCTATAGCCATAGCTTTGTGCCAACAGAGTATTTTAAAGTGAGCCTTCAGAGTTGTGTATTTCTGTGTATAACAGGAGAATTTAATGATTTAAAAATATATAATATGGTAAATCAAACCCAAGTACCATAATATTTGCTTGCTCAAGGTAGTCAGGAAGCTTGGGGGATGGACCTTGAGCCATCAAAGAGGAAGGGGTAACTTTGGGTGGGCCTTAAAGAATGAGTGACATCTGCCTTTGTGGAGGGAGTGGGAATGCTTTTCTGGCCTAGCTTTTCCAGAACAAAAGCCCCAAGGCAGGTTTGTGCTAGGAAGAGCTTGTCTATAATCTGAGTGTATGAGAAAAACTAGGAGGTAAGATAGTGTTGCAGGGGTTGAATATTTATGGTAAGGAGTAGGCAGTTTAATCCATAAGCAGTGGAAACCATTGAAGATTTTCAAGGAAATGGTATATTTTAGGAGTCCGGTTTTTACTATCAGGAAAACAATCTTCAATTAGATGAGCTTACAGAATGCAAAAAATAAGGTCTGACTCACAGCTCATAGATTCTTGTACTCCAAATGAGACATGGCATACTTTCTTCATTTATGCAATAAACCTTTAAAGAACTGCTGCAATGGACTAAGAATTATCCTGGGAACTGTAGGGGTTCGATAACTAAAGCACATAGGAGAGAAACAGATATTGAGTGAATCCGTCAATGATTGGTGGGATTGCAGTGGCAACTAAGAAGTTCTGTACTTGGGGCTTGGTGGTAGTGCATAGGAAAAGAATGAGCTCCATTGTGCTTGAAAGCTTCACTCAATCATTTCTTAATGCCTGATTTCCCTCAGCTTTACCTGTCTGTTCAAAGGGGTAGAGTTGGGGTAAAGGGGAACCATAGGAATAGGAGTGCTTAAACAGAAAACAAAGGAGGTTGTATAGGGCAAAAAATGCAAGAAATATGTAATTTTCTCCAGTGATTCAAATCATTGAAATTATAGTAACATTTACTGAACATCTTTATGTGCCAGACACTGTTCTATAAAACTTCCTAGAGCCTATCCTCTTAATTGCTGTGCAATAGATCCCTTCTAATACTGTCTGTATAACTTTTTCAGGAATATATAACTGAAATAACTGAAATGGGGGTATGGTAGAACATAATAACTCGAGGATGCCGTGGGAAAGAGAGGAACAGTAAAATAAGAAATGATTTAACCTTATTTTAATTATTTTTCAGTCTATGAGGGATTGCAGTATGACTCCATTTCCTTGGTGTATTCGTAAAATAGTTCACTCAGTGAAGACAATGAAGATTATTGACATTGCCACCCTGCTTTTTCTGATGTCCTACACCAGGAAGTTGTGATTTTTAAGGTAATCTCTTTACCGCTGCTGCTACTGCTAAGTCACTTCAGTTGTGTCCGACTCTGTGCGACCCCATAGACAGCAGCCCACCAGGCCCTGCCGTCCCTGGGATTCTCCAGGCAAGAACACTGGAGTGGGTTGCCATTTCCTTCTCCAATGCATGAAAGTGAAAAGTGAAAGTGAAGTCGCTCAGTCGTGTCCGACTCTTTGCGACCCCATGGACTGCAGCCCACCAGGCTCCTCTGTCCATGGGATTTTCCAGGCAAGAATAGTGGAGTGGGTTGCCATTACCTTCTCCGAATCTCTTTACTGAAAACTTATTAAAGAAGGAGGAGAAATAAGAGTTGATTATAACACATTAAAATAGTTAGCCAAACAAAAAGCTAGCACCAATGATAAATTGAAACCATTTTCTACATTATACGAAACCATATATTCCATATAATAATAATGCTATCTATAAGCTGTTTTGTTATATTCACTCCTAATTACCTTATAGTTTCTTGTATCATGGAGAAATGTATCTTTTAAAGCACATTTTCAGATTATTGCTGGTAAATGGGAATGTGATTGATATTGTAACACACTGATTTTATATGCTGTGAACTTTCTGATTTATATTTGTTCTAATATTTGTAGATTTTTTGTATTGTCTGTTAATTACTTATATTGTAAATAATGGAAATTTCTTCCTTTCCAATATTTATTTTTTAATTAGTCTTACTGTGTTAGCTAGGATCTTTGGTATAACGAAATATAGTAGCAGTGATAGAGGATTCTTTTGCTCCTGAATTTACAAGGGAATTTTTATAAATGTTTCACCATTTTTAGTAAATTTTCTTTGTCAGGTTATGTAAGTTCCTTTATATTCTTAGTTTTCTAAGAGTTTTTATTATGGATGAGTATGGAGCTTCTTCTCCAAATACTGATCACATGGAGTTTTTTCTCCATTAACAAGACACTGAGACTATGTGATAAATTACAGTATTCAGTTTTCTAATATATTCCTTGCTTCTGGTTTCATCAGGCCTTAGCATTGAATATTCTGTCTCTTATTTTAATAACTTTTCCTTTTATTTTCTTTTTGTTTGCTCTTTTTCTAATTTATTTGGACCATTAACTCAGTAATTTTAAATCTTCTTTCCTAAAATAATTTATTACCATAAGTTTTCTACTATGTACTACTTTAGAAGAATTTCATAGGTTTTTATATGGAGTATTTTTATTATTATTCAATTATTATTTTATAATTGCTCTTAAGATTTATTTTTGACTCATGAGTTATTTGGGTTTTTTAAATTTATAAACATGGATCTCTTTTTTAGAAATCATACTGCTAAACGATTAATCCAATTACAGTTAACTTCATTTTATTTTCTATTTAAAAATATTTAATGTTTTTTATTCTGGTAACAAAAAGCAAAATTATACACTGGCTCCTCATCTCGATAGATTTTAGCAATATAAAACTTTTCCTTTCATTAAATACATAGGAAAACTGTGATTATGCTGTTCAATGATGAAGTTATTGCTGATATTTATACTTGTGGTTTTAAATCTTTTATTTTGATCTAATTCTACATCTAAAGAAAAATTGTGAGACTATTACAAAGAACTCCCATACACTCTTTATCCAGGTTCACCAATTACCATTTTGCCATGTTTGCTTTATAATATTCTTTTTCTGTTTCTCCCTCTCATTCCCCTTTTCTCTTTTCCCTTTATTGTTGTCTACCTCCCCTGCCCCTTAGCCTGTCTTCTACCTCCCCCTCTTCCTGTCTCCTTCTCTCTCTTTGAACTGTTTAACAGTAACTTGGAGACTTCAAGCTCTTTTACTTGTAAATACTTCAGTGTATATTTTCTCAGAATAATACCTTTTTCTTACATAACCTCAGTACCTGTATCAAAATAGAAATTGGACCTTGTTCCAGCTTTTTGTTTCATAAACCTTTATTGTCAAGATTATCCACTCATACTTATTGAAAAAGGGATGACTTTGGGAGAACATATATTTCAAATGGACAATGTAAGCTCTATTATAGTTCTTTTTCTCCTAGCTTTATTGAAATATATTTGACATATAACAGTGTAAGTTTTAAGTGCACAGTACAGTGTGATGATTTGCTAAATGTATATATTACAAAATGATTACCCACAATAAGATTAGGTAAGACATCAATCATATAATAGAATTAATATTTTTTTTTGTGTTGAGAACTTGTAAGATCTACTGTCCTAGCAACTTTTAAGTATACAATACAGAATTGTTAACTATACTCACTATACTATAGTATTAACTATGCTATAACTATAGTTATGTAACTATATATTGATACTATAACTATAGTGTTGTAGTATAATGTACATCATGCTGTAGATTAGCTCCTCAGAATTTATTCCTGTTACAACTGAAACTTTATATCCTTTGACCACCGTTATACATTTCTCCTACTGTCCCATCCCTGGAAACCACCAATCTACTCTTGTTTCTATGAGTTCAGTTTTTTTTTTTTTTAGATTCCATGTATAAGTAAGAGCATTCAGTATTTATCTTTTTCTGTCTGACTTACTTCATTTAGCCTGATACCCTCAAGGTTTATCCACTATGTCATAATTCCCTTCTTTTTATAGCTGAATAATGTTCCTGTGTGTGTGTATCACATTTTCTTTGTCTGTTAATCTGTCAGTGACACTTAGATTGTTTCCACATCTTGCTTATTGTAAAGAATGATGCAGTAAAACTGGGATTGCAAGTATCTTGTGATCGTGACTTAATTTCCTCAGACATACCCAGAAGTGGAATTGCTGGATCATATGGTAGTTCTATTTTTAATTCTTTGAGGAACCTCCATACTGCTTTCCATAGTAGATATTTCTCTTCACATTCCCATCAAGGAATATGCAAGGGTTCACTTTTCTCAATATCATCACAGGCATTTTTTATCTCCTGTCTTTGTTAATAGCCATTCTAAAAAGTGGGAGATATCTCACTGTGGCTTTGATTTCCTTTTCCTTAATGATTAATGATGTTTAGTACCTTTTCACATACCTGTTGGCGATCTGTATGTATTTGGGTAAATGTCTATTTAGGTCTTTTGCACCTTTTTCAATTAGATTATTTGTTTTTCTGATACTGAGTTGTATGAATCCCTTATATATTTTGGATATTTCTTATCAGATATGTGTTTTAAAATGTTTTCCCCCATTCCACAGATTGCTTTTTCATTTTGCTGTGCAGAAGCTTTTTAGTTTGATGTAGTCCCATTTGTTTATTTTTTGCTTTTGTTGCTTATGTTTTGGGTGTCATATCCATAAAATCATTGCAAAGAAAAATGTCAAGAAGCTTTTTTCCTGTTTGTTTCTAGGAATTTTAAGTCTTTAAGTCTTTCCTTTAAGTCTTTAATCTATTTTGAATTAATCTTTGCCAGTGGTGTAAGATTGGGCTCCAGTTTTATTCTTTTTCATGTGAATATTGTTTTCTCAGCATTATTTATGAAATAGACTATCTTTTCTCCATTAAGTACTCTTGAATCCCTTGTCAAACATTAGTTGACTGTATATGCAACGTTTTATTCTGGGCTCTCAATTCTGTTCCAAGGTCTATGTGTCTGTTTTTATGTCTGCACCATGCTCTTTTGACTACTAAAGCTTTGTAGTATATCATAAATTAGTGTTCCAGTATTATTATCTAGACCATATTGCACTTTGGCCAGTTTGTTCCAATAATGTGTTTTATAGCTATTTTATTTTCTTGATCAAAGTTTCAATCGAGGATAATGTGCTGCATATAATTTCCATGTTTCTTCAGTTTTCTTTAACCTGGAACAGTTCAACCTTTCTTTGTCTCTGATGACAATGACAGTTTAAAGATTTCTGGACAATTGTAGACAATTGTTTTATAGGTTGTTCCTAAACTTAAATCTGTGTGCCCATTCCTTATTATTGTATTTAGATTATGGATTTTTGGCAGGAATGTCAGAGAAGTAATGTATTGTTCTCAGGGCAGCATATCAATAGCACATAATGCTGATTTGACCCCTTAGAAGAAATGTTAACCTTGATTACTTGGTTAAGATGATGTTTACTAGATTAATCCACTCTTAAGTTTCCATTTTCTGCTTTATAGTTAATAAATTTGCTTGGGGTGCTTTTAAACTGTGTAGGTATCCTATTCCTCATCAAACTAAAATACTGGCTTTAATATCCATTGATAATTCTTGACTGAATCAATTATTACCCTAATGGCTGCATAATGGTCATTTTCTTTCTATTTGGCTGCACTGGGTCTTTGTTGCTTTTGCGTGAGCTTTCTCTAGTTGAGGTGAGCGGGAGCTACTCTTCATTGCAGCGCCTGGGCTTCTCATTGCTGTGGGTTCTCTTGTTGCAGAGCACAGGCTCTAGGCTCATGGGCTTCAGTGGTTGTGGCACACAGGCTCAGTAGTTGTAGCTCTCGGGCCCTAGAGCTCATGGGCTTCACTAGTAGCAGTACACGGGCTCGGTAGTTGAATCTTGTGGGCTTTAGAGCATGGGCTCAGTGGTTGTGGTGCACGGGCTTAGTTGCTTTGCGGCATGTGGAATTTTCCTGGACTAGGGATCTAACCTGTGTCCCCTGCATTGGCAGGTGGATTCTTACCCACTGCGCCACTGGGGAGATCCTAAAATTATCATTTTCAAATGTCATTGTTTTCACTATGTTGATTACTTTGTATTCTGCTTCAAGGAAGAGGTTTTTTCCTCCGCTATTTATTTATTTATTTATATTGGTTTGGGCACATAGATTTTTATTTTATTTCATGAGTATGCTATTGCTATCATTATTTATTTTAATGCTCAAATTGTCCCAGTGGCAACCTATTCAAGCTGGATTCTCTGTCCATTTGACATATTCCCATGATTTTTTGATACATACTTGACTTCAGCCATTTCCTTACTTTTTAACTTATATGCTTGTTTTGTATTCCCTGCTTCATTGCCAATTTCTCTATGGATCTCTGGTACCTTTTTGTGGG